TCAATCAAATTAATTCCAAAACGTGAACGCTTCTCATTTACCACCGGATGCATCATCGTAAGATTGATGTTGATCGTCTGTATGTGCCCAGATCCGAAGTAGGCAGGAGATTATTTTAACTAGAACTATCTTACAAACTAAAACAATCGGTCTTCAAAGATACCTGAAACAACAGAAGACTGGATAATGATCTGCATCAAAGAAAATGAAAGAAATGAGAAACTTTATTCAGTAATAAAAGAAGCGGACACATTCAAAAAGGAATTTCAAGTGGGTGAAGAAGTGCAAATAAACCATAGCAGACCTACTGCAGTAAAAAAAAAAAAAAAAAAAAAAAGAAAGCAAAAGCAAATGCAATGTGCTAAATGCAGAAATGATGGTAAGATAAGCCTCTTCATGGTCAATACTCTACCCGTACCAAACAAGCTGATGTAGACAGACCCCGCACCAATCAGTGGCTACGTAGTGTAGTGTTAAAAGCTGAAACCAAATGTTTTATTCTTACTGAATGTGACCAATGCTTGCGAGCTAGAAATTACCAAGCACACGTAACAGAAAAAATGTGTTAGCCGAAAATGCAGATTCCATGATAAATATCCAGAAACAATTGACCATATTGTATCAGGTTGCGCACCAAGTGAATAATAATAATAGTAATAATCATGAAAGATAAAGTAAGAAAAGAATACTACAGTCGTGTTCGTCTGGAGTTAAATACCGAGTTGCATTCACAAAATAGAATATCAGTCATGAACACCTTGGCTGTCCATGTAGTGTACTACAGTTTCAACATACTTAATTGGATCATAGCTGACATTAAGCAAATAGATGTCAAAACGAGAAAGCTTCTCATACCGCATACCTCGTCCTAAAGCTGATTTCGATCGTCTGTATGTGCCCAGATCCGAAGAAGAGAGACGATTAGTTCAACTAGAACTGTCTTATAAAAACCACAATAATTTATCTTCAAAGATACCTGGGAACTATTGAAGAGTGGCTGGTGATCTGTGTCAAAGAGCACGAAAGAAATAAGAAACTATATTCAGTAATAAAGGAAGTCAACAAATTAAACAAAAAATTTCAAGTGGGTGACGAAATACAAATAACCCATAATAGACCTACTGCTATGGCAAAGAAACCGAAAAAAGAAAGCAAAAGCAAATGCAATGTGCCAAATGCAGAAACGATGGCAAGAAAAGCCTCTACATAGTCAATACTCTACCCGTACCAAACAAGCTGATGTAGACAGATCCCGTACCAATCAGTGGTTACATAGTGCAGGATTAAAAGCTGAAACTGAAGTTTTTATTTTTGCTGCACAGGACCAATGCTTGCTAACTGGAAATTACCATCACACACACTGAAAAATTATGTGGACCGAAAATACAAATACTGTGATAAATATCCAGAAATAGTTTACCATCTTTTATCAGCGGCCACTGAATATAAAACACAATTCGACATGATAGAATGAGCTAACATCTGACCTGGAAAATATGTAACTTCTACGGAAAGGAAACCAGAAGAAATTGGTATGACCATCACCCAGACCCGGTTATAGAGATAGGAACTGTAACAATTTTATGGGACTTTATAATACACACAGACAGAACAATTCAAGCTAATCGGTCAGGCATCGTGATTAAAGACCACAAAAAAACAGAATATGATTTCTATTTACACGGCTGTTTCTTTGAAGATTTTTAAAAACTATCAAAATACAAGGATCTTGAAGTGAAAATTTAAGAAATGTGGCATACAAAAACATCAGTAGTTCCAATTGTATTTAGAGGCATCGGACTGATTGGAAACGGTTCCGATAGATTCATTGAAGGGATTCTTGATAATCCATGCCTTAAAGAAATACACAAAATTTTACTCACAAGTACGGCTCATACGAAGAGCTTTATCTATGTAAAATATATGTGATCTTAGGTTTCTTTTATTGTTTTGTGTTTTGTTTTATTGTTTTATTTTACAAAACAAAAGATCAGTGGTAAATGTTATGACGCCATTTTTGACCTTAGGTCTCTGGTTGGCACCCGGAAAATCGGTTTACAACAGAAATCCATGGAAATACGTAGAAACATTGTTGTTTTTTGAATTATTATACTTGGTTGATACAATTTGTTTTGTATGTCAAACTTGAATTCGTACGTCAAACAAATTACACACGAAAAGTTTTTATTCATCAAAATACGACATCGTTGACTGTTGCCATCGCTGTGCCAGAAGCTCTTTTGCATGCTTATACTACTTGGCTGGTTTAGAAGCAAAATTCTCTCTGTATCCGCTTTCAACCTCTTCCATATTGTTGAACGTCCATCCACCTAGGAAATGAGCCATGTTTCGGAAAACGTGCTTGTTTTATGGTGAAAGGCCTAGAATGCATGCAGGTTGAGATAGCACTTGCAGCACCTCCCAGGGTATGAAAATGTGCAGCTTCCTCACATTGTCACACCCTAGGAGTGTGTGTCTTCGATTGACCAATGCAGGATAGCGACCTTTCAAAGCATCGTATATTTGCTACAGTTGTTGAGTGTAAAGGTCAGCGTTCACAGCATGACAAGTTCAGTGCAACAACCTCTAGAAATTCCACCAAGCACACGACATGGCCTTCCGTTCACACTTCTCTTGTTTGACAACAGATTTTGAAGCCTGGCCGGAATGAAGCCACTGATTTCTCTTAAGATTACAAAAATAGATCCATTTTTAATACCAGGTTACATTTCGACGCCAGAAAAAAAAAAAAAAAAAAAAAAACAGGCGTCTTGAAGATTTTCTAGTCTTTGATCAGTTCATGAGGAACTACTTGACAGCATCTGTTTACAAGGCTGAGCTTACGGAGGTATCGATTGATGGTACATTTTGAAAGACCAAATTCTGCCGACAATGTACGAATTCTTGTGGTTGGTTCTTGTTCAGCCATTTCAAGCAAAACCTCATCTTCCACATCAGAAGGTCTCTCTGACCTTGGTTTGTCTTCGAGGCTGGTGTCACCTTCCTTGAAACGTCTAAACCACGTTTCTTCACAGTTCCTGGGCTTGCCACATCATTAATTCATTTTCCCGCTGCCCTTTCACTCAATCAGTGGTTTAAAATGGACCCAATTGCAATTTTCCCACTACTCATTATCAAAGATTTAAAACAAAGGATAAACAATTAAAGTTTATATGTTATATATGAAAATAAAGAATAAACAATTGAATATGATTGGACAAAAAATTATATCAAATTAATATAACATGGAGATACAGCATCTGTGTATATATCTGAGATGAGGTATTTTAACTACTAACACTATTTACATCGTTTGGACTGTTGTCCTTATCTTTATTGCCATATTCACGAAGTTTTGACCGCTGTACGCTCCAACCTTCTTCAGTTGAATATCATATATTTTCCACTTAATAATCAAAATAGTCGCGGGTTGAATTTGAAATCGAGACGCCGTTTCCACTCGCCAAGTCTACAACCATTCCACTACTGCCACATAAAAATATATATATATATATATATATATATATATATATATATATATATATATATATATATATATATATATATATATATATATATATATATATATATGTGTGTGTGTGTGTGTGTAAAAAATCCGTGGGTATGTAATCCAAGTAGAGCATATTAATATAAAATATTAAAACTGATCCACAAAAGAGCTGAATATAATTTTTATTATAGTCCATATAAGTGAATTACAGTATATATATATATATATATATATATATATATATATATATATATATATATATATATACACGTTTCATTAAATAATATACACAAGTTTTGTCTATTTATTTTATATAAATTTTTTCATAACGTCTGATAACTTTAATAACATTGAACGAAGAAAGAAATTCACAATATTGATCCATAATTTTTAATACAATCTAAGCTTTCGGCTTACATAAGCCATTATCAAAGATGTCAATTACAACATATTAAGCAATATACGGACAAGACAGTGATGATAGTCTGTCATTGTTTACATAGATGATTTCTAAGCAACGATAAACACGTGCATATAAGACGCTAGAAGCAAAAGTCGCACCGCATCTCATGACGTCACACGAGAGTGAATTGGAGAAGTATGAAGTATGGGAAGCCGTTGGTATAAACCAATGGCTTCTGTTACCAATTATAGACATTTAAGAATATTTGTAGAGATGCCATAATTGATTTTGTTTAGGTTGGATTTCAACTGTTTGATGTATAATGCTTCAAGGATTTTTAGTTTTTGTCTATTGAATATATATATATATATATATATATATATATATATATATACCCTGTAGACCACTCTGTTTTGGGATATATGGCCGCATCCTGTCAATGCTAGGCGTTGGTTTCGTAACGCGTAGGTTTTTACAGATGAAATTGTTTCGTGTATGCTGAACAAATTTTAAATACACAGTTGTCATTCTAGATTGATTGCCAACCAAAGCAGGAAGAATAGCCGGATCGATGCCCTTCCAAAGATATGTGTGTGAAAGCGATTGCAATGGCCTCGGGTGGAATTTGAATTGGAGACGACAGTCTCGTTATCCGTTACAACTTCACTACGCGCCTCGCATCGATATTTCTTGGCAGAAAATTGTGTATCATAAAGAAGCGAAAATAAAGTGCAATTCTTCAATGCCGTACAAAAGAACTACAAAACCACTCGATTGAAATGACACCTGCGTAAATCCATTTTGATGACACGAAAATTTGAAGAGTCCTCAACTTAATACCTGATATCATGTAGCTATGTAATATTTGAGAAGTCTGAGATAAAATTGGTTAGTTTTTTTTTCTATATTATGCGAAATTTTTTGCGCGTCCTCTTTGAGAACATAGGCTTACGGCTACATCACGTTGACAAACACCCTGTTCCCTTGCTATTACTGTTTAAGCAACATCGACCATGGTCAGAACGCAGATGGGTGACCATTTGGGAATACCAGGTGCTGTAAGATTGGGTGTGAAGATGACATCATCGGCTACAGCACGTTGAAATATCGGTTCCTGTACGATCACCAAAGTTAAGCAACCTTGAGCCTGGTCAGTACCTAAATATCTGACCCTTTAGGAATATCAGGTGCCGTAAGCGTAGATGTGTGGGTGGCATGGCTTACGGCTACATCGCGTTGAAATACCGGTTCCTGTACGATCATCAAAGTTAAGCAAACCTAAACCTGGTCAGTACCTAAATGTCTGTCCGTTTGGTAATACCAGGTTCTGTAAGCTTGGATATGCGGGTGGCATGGATTACGGCTACATCACGTTGAAAAATACCCAATTCCCGTGCGAGTACTGGTTAAGCATCATCGACAGTGGTCAGTACCTATATGGATGACCATTTGGAAATACCAGATTCTGTAAGCTCGGGGTGGGGGTGCAATGGATGATGGCTCAAAATTGAAAAAAAAAAATTGAGAGACGGATTCCAACTCCAGTCCGGTTCGATACATTAACTTACACGCAAATTCCCCTGGAACTGATATGAATCCATCTATTCTCCCACCAGATATGGGTTAATTAATGATAAATGTATCACTAGAACTATTATTATTCCCCGACCGATAAATAAATAAAATTAAATAAAATTGCGTATAAATTATCTAGATTTCGGTGTTAAATAACTCATAAAGCTTGATATGCCGCTAAACACTAACAACGAACATCTTCCCAGATGGTATATCAAACCTCTTCTGCATTCAAGTGAGATATTCGCTAACTGTCCCACGTGGTCGGATGCGGCACAAGGCCAAGTTTATTGTGAGGTACCGAGCCCGTAGGCTCGGCCAAAAATTCCCCGTAGATTAAGCTCAGCTCTCCACATACGTGAACGTCCATTGGCCGAAATACTGGACTCATTTGATCAGAGATTTACCAAGAACGTACGCGGAATTCCTTCTTATATCTGCAACATTTAAATCAAATCACAATCCTACAGAAATCTCCGTCGTGTCAACAGGGAGTAGGGACTTAAGTATCATTATTATCTACCTCCCATCAAAAAGAGAAAAAAATCTTACAATCTAAAACTATTTTCTTCCTTTAAATAACCGATAAAGAGTCGATAAGCCGGAGAAAACGAATCAATAAATCAATCTTTGAGAACAAACACTATTTTTTAATATAATTTAATATAATTTAGATAACATTAGTTACATTGTATTGGAGTAATCGGTTGATTTTTGTTGTTTTTTATTGCGATTTGTCTTTTTCAGTGTAATATTCTCTTACAAACCAAATTTGTCTTCCCTATGGCGATATGGCATCTATATTTGATGGCATATTCAATCATGCATTACGACCATTTCAAACTGTCGGTGACAATATATACAGTGAATTTTTTATGAAGGTTTCACGAGATTTCAATAATCTTATTGATTTACATGCAAGCAAGTCCAGTTCTGCTCTCAACCGGCTTTATGATTTCTCTTTTTCTATTCTCCTCCCGCCTCTTTCATTTTTCTATTTCTCTTTTTTTCCTTATTTTTGTTTGTCCCTGTCAAGTCTTGTATCTTTGATGCACGCAATTTCTTTATTGGACACTTAAAGAGAAACCACACACACACACATATATATATATATATATATATATATATATATATATATATATATATATATATATATATACACATATATATGACGGCCAGTAAATTTTTTCATAAGCGCGTCACTTGCGCATGCATCGACGAACATCTGAGCTCGTCGACTGGCAAAAGTGGCACTGATCAATGATGTCGCCTATACCAATCTACTTTACTATGCACATTTGCATACATACACGGCATGCATTCCTGGTGTTCTACCCGCCCCATAACAGGCTAAATGAACACAGGTAGATTCCGCCGAAATTAGGATTCACTTTTTTCTCCCCTGTGCTGGAAATCTATATTCCAAAGCGCGTCTTACACACACACACACGCACACACACACACACACACAAACACACAAGCTTCTACGGGCGCTCGGGTACACACACAAGTGCGCGTCTTGTTAAGATATCTCGAAGCTAATATATGCATATATCTGGCAGCAAGACCTCTGATCGGGAGATTTGAGGTTTTGAAGAACGTGGAACCAACTCTTATATACTGTAGTTCCCAGGTCCATCCTGACCCGGAGTGGTAGCACATGTTAGGGTTTCAGCTATGCGAAAATAGTGACCCCCCAACAAACAAAATCACAGCACTAAAATATATAAAAATACATTTGTATAGTAAAAATACCGGCAATATATTTTTATTAAAAAAAAAAAGAAGACCAACAATGCATTTTGTAGTGAAATTATCAGCAATACATTTGTATAGTAAAATGATTATGGTAATAAAATAAGCACATTCCCAGTCACTTGTAAACATCGATCGGAATAAAATAGATTTTTTTTAGCACGAAAGCTGACTGAGCCAAAACCTTCATAAACTTCTACTTAGAGAAGGCACGGTTAAGTAAAGGATAGCGGTTCGTATTGAGAAATTAGAGAACTGTGTTCGAATTCCAGTCGAATCCATTGCATTCGCTTACGCGCTTATATCTTTGGGAAAGATATGAATCCTTTTCTCCTCCCCACCAGCTATAGGTAAAGCGGGGTATACCAGGTTTTATAGCCTTGGATGGTAACTGGTCTATTGCAGAAAGAAGTGGCAAACTAATGCGGGAAAAAATCTGCCTCGTCAATCATGCATGGCACATAACAGACTGAACCTTTTACTTGGAATTCTTACAACATTGCAATAACCATCGATACATTTTAAAGCAAAATGTCAATCAATACTTTGAATGAAATTGAATACATTGTATAGATTGTCAAAAAACAAAAAAACAAAAAAAACAATTTGGTATGCTTAATCTACATTGTAATCTATCTATCTATCTATCTATCTTATCCATTTCTATTCATTTTAATGCATCAATCTAATCTATTCATTGTAATGCATCAGTCTAATCTATTTCTATTCATCGTAATCTATCTATCTATCTATCTATCTTACCCATTTCTTTTCATTGTATTCTATCTATCTATTTATCTGAGGTGTGATAATACAATTCGCGGACTGGCCGTAACTAGTCGCTGGCGTAATGGGGCAGGGAAACATTTCTAGTCAAGCACGACCGAACATCCTTCAACTTAAGCTTTCTTGAGATGCAAACCAGATGAGCCATTCGTTATTGGACAATAACGAAGTTATAAAATTGATGTAAAACGATTGAAAAAAATCTGGAGTAACGTTTTTTCTTCTTTTTGTTTCCTGGGGTGATTGAGGTGCCAACTAAACGTTAGCACAATTAAAAATTGACTTTATAGTGAAGATGCCTGGAAAAATCGCGTTTATGTCTTTGAGTGCCGCAGATGTTTCAAAGAAAGGCGAGAAAACGCTCACGATGACTCAATGATTCAAGAAGTGGGATGCCAAAAAGCAAGACAAACAAATATAAATGGGGATAGAGTGTAAGCCAAAGTTATATCTATCTATCTATCTATCTATCTATCTATCTATCTATCTATCTCAGTCTGTTCATTATCTATCTATCTATCTATCTCAGTCTGTTCATTATCTATCTATCTATCTATCTATCTATCTATCTCAGTCTGTTCATTATCTATCTATCTATCTATCTATCTATCTTCATTATCTATCTATCTATCTATCTCAGTCTGTTCATTATCCATTATCTATATATCTCAGTCTGTTTAATCAGTCATCAATCTAATCTATTCATTATAATCTGCATCTCAGTCTAATATCTATTCTATCTATCTATTCATCTGTTCATTATAATCTATCTATCTATCTATCTATCTTATCCATTTCATTCATTTTTGCATCAATCTAATCTATCTATCTCATCTAATCTATCTATTCTAATCTATCTATCTATCAGTCTATGTTCTTGTTCATCTATCTATCTATCTATCTATCTCAGTCTGTTCATTATCTCTCTCTCTCCCTATCTATCTATCTATCTATATATCTCAGTCTGTTAACTATCTATCTCAGTCTGTTAATTATCTATCTATCTATCTCAGTCTGTTCAATATCTATCTATCTATCTATCTATCTATCTCAATTTATTTAGCTTATTCATACAATATTTCTACGCAATGAGATACACACACGCGTACGCATACACGCACGTACATAGAGAGAGCAAGAGGCGTGTATTGATAATTATGTCAATTCACATTCCTTATACTGATTTCGTTTCAGATAATTCCTCGCTAATGGCCAACACTTTTGCCATTCTCTTCGTCAATATTTCACCCACCATTGCAGTCGCTCTGCAAATGAGCGTATTTCGCGTGAGGTGGTAGCTTATATTCAGCTGTTTTCTGCCGTGCCGCTAATTGCTACCGACACCGCCGTCCCGTCCCGTCCTCTTTTCTTCTCTCCACAAACACTTGTACATTAATTCATTTATGAATGACTGTAAACAGATAGAGGAAGACATTAATGTTCCCATCGCTACGTCATTATCAACGTGCGTACTGAAGAGCGCCCGGGTTTGGCTGGCTTGCTTACATTTTGGTATATAAAGAAAAAAAAATGAAAAGAAGCTGTAATTGATTTATTCACGCTTGCGGAAATCGCACGCACACATGCTCATACACACACACACACGCACAAAAAACGTACACATATATATATATATATATATATATATATATATATATATATATATATATATATATATATATGTGTGTGTGTGTGTGTGTGTAGGTATATACACATTATTATATCTGTGTACACAGACAAACAAGTGCACATATACTGATTAGGTAGTGGATTGTTACAAAGTGTCCTATGCTCAAACATTGCTTGCACCCGTATTTTTAATTAAACCAAATGTTCAAACACACACATGCACACACATGCACACACACACACACACACACACACACACACACACTGACTATAATGCCTTTCTACCAGTAACCTACCGAAAAGGAAACAACGATTTTGGCACCTAACACCCTTACAATTTATACTATATATATATATATATATATATATATATGTGTGTGTGTTCTTCTTTCCAGTGAAGCTTGATCTTCAAAAATTGGAATGTCAACCATCTTGTCTCCTTTTGCTTCTTG